AAAAAAAATGGAAGTAAAATACCGGCTGCCAGCAGTAGCGTATAAACATAGGAGATGTGATTGTTGTTGAAGCATTTTTCCTTGATTGTTCAAGGAAAAGGTAAAAATGTTAAATAACTTTAGACTTTATTATGTATGTTGTTAAAATTCAAGGGAAAGCACTAAAAGAATGAAAAAAAGAGCTTATAACTTCCAAACTAGCAGCGAGGGGGAAAAAGGGAATAGGATATTTTGAAATCAGTTCAAAATAATTAAAATTGATTTAAGTGTTTGTGGTATTTCTTAAGTACCTAAGCAAAACCCTGAAGTTCTACAGATTCAGATCCTTATAACACTCAGATTTTATCATTGATGATTTTACCATACTGTTGGTATGTATTTGAACAGTGGTATACAATGAATTTGTTAGATCGTTTGTAATTCTTGTATACTTCATGCCAGGCACTGTCTGACTTAATCCTTACAATGATTATTATCATTTCCATTTTATGGATGAGAGAACAGAGATGCACACTATTATTAAATGCTATAGCCAGGATTCCTACTGAAGTTTGTTTGACTAAAGAGCCCTGACTTTCAGCCACTACTTCATCTAGTATGTTATAAAACTGTTAAGAGCCTTAAGCAACCTTAGAAATCATTTTGCCCAACCTCTTAATTTAAAAATGAAATAGGCCTGGCATGGTGGCTCATGCCTATAATCCCAGCACTTTGGGAGGCCAAGGTAGGAGGATTGCTTGAGGCCAGGAGTTTGAGACCAGCCTGGGTAACATAGTCAGACCCCCATCTCTACAAAAAATTTAAAAATTAGCTGGGCATAGTGGTGTGTACCTGTAGTCCCAGCTACTCAGGAGGCTGATGCAGGAGGATCGCATGAGCCCAGGAGTTCGAGGCTGTAGTAAGCTATGGTGGTGCCACTGCATTCCAGCCTGGGCAACACAGCAAGACCCTGTCTCTCAAAAAAAAAAAAAAATGCCTAGAGATGTTACAGAATTTGCACTTGTTTACAGAGTCAAATAGTAGTCAAGCTGCCTGCAAGGCACTTCCTGGGCTCTGCCTGGTCTCAAGCCTCAGCCTGCACCATTCTCCCCTCCCTCACCACCTGGAAGCCTCAGCAGCCTCCAGCCTCAGGAATTTCATAGATGCTTTTCTCTCTGCCTAGACCTCTCCTCACCTTGCTCACTCCCACTAATCCTTTAGGTTTGACCTTTTGTGTTAGGTAGGCCTGGGTAGATCCCTCCATTTACGGCATTCTGTATTTATCTCATGAGCATTTACTTGTTTTATCTATTTCTTCCTTTATATTATATTATGAGTTTCCTGAGAGCAGAGTCAATGTCAGCCTTACGCATCATTGAATTCTAAGTGCTTAGCACACTGGCATATATTAGCCACTCAATAAATATAGAATGAATTAGTGAATGAATATTATCTCATTTTTTAATTTGCTTTTTCTCTTTTATTCAGGTTATCATAGCCACCCCTGGGCGACTTCTGGATATAATGAAACAGAGCTGTGTAGAACTCTGTGGTGTAAAAATTGTAGTAGTAGATGAAGTAAGTAGTGATGTTTAAAAATATTAGTCACGTTATTTTATATAATTTATGAAAAGCATAATTTTATAATTTCATTGTATATTCAGAGCATTTTTTTCTCTCAAAGGAAAAAGAATACAGGGACTTTTAAAAAATTGCAGCAGTGGTTCTTGAGCTGATTCCCAGGTAGTACTGCAGCCAGTGTAAGGACTAGTACGCCACAGTTAAGCCAGAGCTGTCTTTTCCTAAGGGACAGAAAACACAAATTCAACAGGTTGTTTTCAAAATGATACGTTTCCTAAATATTTGGCGCTAGCTTTCATTCGTCTACAAAAATAAGGAACCAGTGGCAAATAATTATTAACAGCAATTTTGGAAGTAGCTGATAATGCTTAGCTGGATGGCCTTTTTTCATGTCTTTTTGTTTTCCGTGTGGACATAGGCATCTGTATTAATAGTTTTCATTTTCTGTGTTACATATGCCGCGTAGACGTTTTTACACTTTTGGCCTGCTTAGCAAGATGAAGTAAAAGCGAGATTACGCGGTGATATTCCACCATGCAAACAAGCGTGGGAACACAGAACTGTGTGTCCGTCCACACTGGGTATGTGCCGTTCCTGCCTGTGGGGCACACGTGTCTAGCCACACGACCCACCAGCAGGGACTGAGCAGGGGCCTGGTGTTACCCCGCGTCTTGGCTGCCTTTTGTGGGCCCCAGTAAATATCCCCAGTGGGATGCCAGAGGGTGTAGGAGGAACCACGTAGCCAGTACCCGAAAGACCGGGGTTGAACGTTTTCTGCACCTCCTGTGAGATTGTGGGCAAGTCATTTAATCTTCCAGAGCTGCGGCGAGGGTCAAGAATGGCTGTGAGAATGTGGCATAGACTGAAAAGTCCTGCAGAAATGGAAAATAACAATAGGCCTGTAAAAAGCACTGCTGAGTCAGCATTTTCCCGGCACAGCTGTTCTGTGGAACCGATTTGTCGCATCTGATTATCATTAGACTTACCGCCACCCTGAACATGTGCCTGGGCTTCCTTTTGTCGACAAGCCCGCGTTCTTCAGTTCTCCCCGTCTTACGAGCCCGAGAAGTAATTCTGGTATCGAATTTAGAGTTAGGCTCCATTCATCCTCACTTTTCTTTGTGGCGTTTTCATTTTCTTCAGTTAACAAGGTTTCGCGGGCACCGCAGTGCCGTGCTCACTGTTACGGCGCAGAAGCGTTCATTCGACAGACGGGTGTCTAGCTCCTGTCACGCGCAGCCTGTGTCCCCCTCCTCGGCATTTGGGGAATATGGTTTCCGCGTGGTCTAGAGGGGAAGTGAGCTGGTAAACACGATGCGTGATGTACCGAAACTGAAGTCGGTCCGGTGTGCTCTTTGGGTGTGGATTGGCCAACACTGGGCTGAGTCTGGGTGGCATCACAGAGAAGATTTGACGACCATTCAAGCCTACCACGTTCCGAAATCTTAGTGGAGAGAAAAGACACGTACACGTGAAGGCAAGAACACGATCATATGTACTGAGACACTAAAGTACTGAAGTGTACGGTGTAGGCCATGGGTTGGCAGACACTTTCTGTAAAGAACACATGGTAAACGTCTCAGGCTTTGGGGCCATGTGGTCTCCGTTGTGACTGCTCAGTACAAATGTAGACAGTATGAAAGCAAATGGGTCCGACTGGGTTCCCATAAAACCGTATTTACAAAAACAGATAAAGATCTGAATTTGTCCCCAGAGCTATAATTTGCCAACGACTGATACAAGCTGTTAGTAAAACAGTTGGACTATGTACGATATGCTTATTGTCCAGGAAAAAGAAAGTCGGAAGGAAAAACGAGAGAGTAACGTATTCACACTGGAAAAAAACGGCTTCTCAGAGGTAACGGCCTCAAAAGATGGAAACAGATTTAGAAAACGAGAGGATGTAAGCAGGGTCAGAAGTCCAAGTGCACGTGCAGAAGAGACAGGGAGGAGACCATCAGCTTGAAGAATGCTTGTGAGAAATAATAGGAAGTAAGGCTGGGTAGTTTGGGTGGGGCCAGATTATAGAGGGCCTTCAAAGGGAGGCAGAGGAATTTGGATTTGACGTGGGAGACAAGGCGGCTTTCTAAATTATTGAGTTGGGGTGTAACGTGTTGAAAGTGGTGGTTTAGGAAGGTCATTCTGCTGCTCAGTACAAGAGAAATTAAAGCAGAAAGAATCTGGAACACAGCAGCCAGCAGTCCAGACAAAGGAGGAGGTCAGAGACAGGGTGGCGGCAGTAGGAGGCAGGGGTTACACCAAGAGTCACCAGAGGGACGTTCTATTTTTTTTTTTTTTGAGACAGAGTCTCACTGTGTTGCCCGGACTAGAGTGCCGTGGCACCAGCCTAGCTCACAGCAACCTCAGCCTCCTGGGCTCAAGCGATCCTCCTGCCTCAGCCTCCCGAGTAGCTGGGACTACAGGCATGCGCCACCATGCCCGGCTAATTTTTTCTATGTATTTTTAGTTGTCCAGCCAATTTCTTTCTATTTATAGTAGAGACGGAGTCTTTTTTTTTTTTTTTTTTTTTTTTTTTTTTTGAGACAGTCTCACTCTCTTGCCGGGCTAGAGTGCCGTGGCACCAGCCTAGCTCACAGCAACCTCAAACTCCTGGACTCAAGCAATCCTACTGCCTCAGCCTCCTGAGTAGCTGGGACCACAGGCACGCGCCAGTATGCCCGGCTAATTTTTTCTACATATATTTTTAGCTGTCCAATTAATTTATTTCCATTTTTTGGTAGAGACGGGGTCTCGCTCTTGGCTGGAGAGACGGAATCTTGCTCTTGCTCAGGCTGGTCTCGAACTCCTGAGCTCAAAGGATCCACCCTCCTCAGCCTCCCAGAGTGCTAGGATTACAGGCGTGAGCCACCGCGCACCCAGCCTGGAGGGACATTCTTGAGTCTCCTGATGACTGAATGTGAGAGAGGAAGGAGAAAGCGGTGGTAGAGATGACTCCATAAGTTATAGTTGTGCCTTTAATTTTAGAAAAGGGCGAGTGGGCAAATGCTGAGTCTCAGTAGTAACTGAGTTTGGCTTTAGACATGTCGAATTTCATGTGAATGATGGACTACGGGGAAGTGTTCTGAAGATACAAGAACTATGCACTGGAATCCATGAGACATCATAGCTTCTCTCAGGGAGGAAGGTTAGAGAGAAATGGGCAGAGAGAGGCGAGGACTGGGGCTGAGGTCAGGTTTGGGGAGTTGGAGGATGAGTCAGTAAACGGAGAAGTCGTCTGAGAGACCAGAGAGGAACTGAGAATGAGTGACATCCCTGAAGAAGAGAGAAGCTGCTGTTTCAAGAGGGGCTGAGGACTGGGATTGTTCTTTGGAATAGGAAAGCTCTGCCCCGTCCCCCTTCTCTCTCCTGTCACACCTGTCCTTTGGCTTAGAATCCTGTCCCTGCCCATCTGCCTTCTCCCCCTTTATGTGTCCCTGACTCTGAAATCCTTACTCCCCAAGACAGGTTTTAGGCCTTCTTTGCTCCGTCGAACTGTGCACAGACCGTACGTCCCTCACGTTGTGTTTCCTGCAGTGGCCCGGTAACGAAGCAGTGTTTGCCCAGGTTCCCGAACGGTAAGAATCGCCTGGTGTGCTGGGTGAAGGTCGTGCAGGTCCAGACCCCTCGCTTGGGTATTCCGATTCAGTAGGTCTGAGAGGGAGCCCAGGAATCTTGAAAATACTCTTTCCAGGTGATCTTGTCTTCAGAGAGGCTTGGTACGCGCTGACTAGTAAGTCTGACATAAAGTAGGTGCTTGCTCCGTGCCTAGAGTTAACATATGTTCATGTTTTATAAAATGCACGTTCAGGGCTTTTTCCCTGCTAGACACGAGGACGTGGTGGAAAGTGAGACGGGTGAGCTGTCTGTGGAGCTGGGGCAGGTGTACTGCGCGGGGGGACATGGCAGTGGCAACCAGGGGGCTACCTTAGATTGGCAGTCGGGGGGCGCTGTCTGGGAAGGTGATTTTCGTGCTGAGATCTGAACGAGGAGCCAGCCACGCGAAGATGAAGAGAAGAGATGAGATGGGGGTTTCTGATGGCACCATTTCCTGGGCCGTGTGCGGGGACAGGAGCGGGTTTGGCGGTGGGGGGGGTACGAAAGTCTGTTGTGAACAGGTTGACTTTGAGGGGCCTGTTGGATCCGGGTGTAGTGCTAAGCTGGGCGTTGGTCTCTACCGCTGAGTTCAGGGAAGCGCATGTGCCAGAGACAAGATCTTGGGGGTCTCTGGTGCATGTGTGGCGTTCGGAGCCGTGGAACTTGTCGGTCTCATCTGGGGAGAGCGTATAGATGGGGCGGGGAGAGGGGCTGCGACACAGCGACACAGCGACACAGCGACACAGCGACACAGCGACGGGGCCGTCAGCAGACAGAGACGGAGAGAAGGGAAGGGGGTCTGAGGGGGAGTAGCCAGGGAGAGAGCAGAGGAATCGCAAGAGGAGAAACGAGGTGGTTGAAGGAGGCGGTGGGCAGTTATGTCATGTGCTGCGATCTAAAGTTCAGTGTGTAACATGCAAGTGTATGAATATTGTAAGTTTGGGTTGACCTGTTTCCCTGTTAGACCTTAAATTCTTTGAAGATAGGGTCTCTTCATGTGTCCCGACCACCTAGCACACAGCACTTCCGCTTTGTGTACAACGCAGGTTCTAGAGCCAGATTGCCAGGGTCCCTGTCCCGGCCATACCACTTGATCACTATGTAACGTGCCTCGGTTTCCTCATCTGTAAAACTGGATCGTAATAGTGCCAGCCTCACAGGACTATCATGCGGACAGGCGCAACACTCGGGAAGGTGTCAGTGAACACTCACAGCGAGAGCTGTGAAGCTCAGTTAGCCACTCAGTAAAGGTGTGGTGAGTGAGAGATGTCTAGCCGTGGGGACCCGCGAGTGGCGTTTTGGTGGTAGAGATGGAAGTCAGATTGTCAGAGATCAAGGAAGTCACGAATAATGCAGGAACTGTAGGCAACACTAAAAACAAACATTTTCCAGAAAAGTTTGGCAAAGTTTGTTTTAAAATTAGAGGACATCTGTGTTTACCTCTTTACTCTTACCTCCTCCTCTGTCTACGTTTACCTCTTACTGTTACATTTTCAGAGTAACTTGTAATTGTAAGTGGTTCTAATATTTGAAGCAGCTTATTTTTATGTACAGTGGTACTTTTATGTCTAAGAGCTTTTTCAAAGTACATATTTTTCACATTGTAATCTGCTAACATTCCTCTAAGGTAGGTAGGAAATAGATTTATAAGTAGAAAACTGAAGTGTAGAAAGACTAAGGTTTTCCCAAGTTCTGATTCATACTGACTTTCAAAAGCAGTTTAGATGGGACTTGCATGTGAATATTGTGTTTGTGTACATATAAATGAAAAAAAGTTTTGTGAAATAGTAATTACCCTTGCTACATGCAGTTTTTCTATTCTGATATTTTCTATTCTTGTTTTCCGGGTTGTTTTTTTTTTTTAATGCTGGTCATGGCCCACTCTCCATTTTGAATAACAGCTATAATTCATGCACATTAAAGACAAATTGGAAAATGGGGGGAGCATCCTATTTCCACCACCTTAGAAATAACCATAGTTAGTTTATTTCTTTTCACATTTTTTCTCCTGTGCATGGTTTGTAAGAGGCCTTGAGAGTTTAGATTTTAATCTGTGTACATTAGGAACCCTCGAAGGATTTAAGCAGGAGTGTATTATAATCAGACTCATACTATGGAGGTGAAGAAAGCAAGAAGACTGGTTCACAGGGTGAAGGGGAGGGTTTGAGCCAGGGCCGTGGCTGTAGGGGTAGGGAGGACGGATTTCCAGACACATTCAGGAGACTGAAAGTAAAGGAGGCGGATTATGGGAAATAGGTGAGTTTAGTTCTTTATACTTTGTTTGCCAAGTTTTCTATAGTGAGCATATCTGTTTTCTATAGTGAGCATATTTTTTAAAAAATTATATCTTAAAGATAGACAAAGACTGTCTTTGAATTTGACACTTGGGGTGATTTCTACCTGAATAAGATAGTTCCGGTGAGGTGCAGGGGTGGAGGCTAGTTAGTGTTTGAACAGCGAGTGGGAGGCAAAAAATGGCGGAGTGGAGACAGCAGGTCTAGACTAGTCTCTGGGAAAGCCTGTGTGAGAAGAGAAACGGCAGGATTTCTTCCCAGAGGCCCACGTTTTCCCAGAGCCGGGAGAAGCGAGGCAACCGCCCAAAATCCTGGGGCCTGGGTAAGTTTGCCGAGAAACGCTGGGCGTTTTCAGGACACGCTGTGTGCGTCTGTTCTCTGCGTCTCGTGATTAATGGAACACCGGCCGAGACTTACGCTGCAGGCGTTGTCCTAAGCCGTATGTATTTTATACTTTATGTCATTGATCCTTATAGTCGTTTGTGGTAGATACTGGTATTATTCTCATTCATAAAGGGAAAAACTAAGGCTTAAAGCTAATTAACTCAAAGTCATAGGTGGAGCCAGGATCAAATCCAATATAGCACTATTTCAGATTTTTTAAATGTCATAGAATGAATAATATTACAATGAATGTTCAAACTTTAAATGCCTACGTTACTGGACACTTAAAAATACAATGCCTTAATAGTTTAAAGTAATTGAATAGCTTATTCTTCCCTAATTATGGACACCTGGCTTGTATTACTATTTGAAAATCAAGACGGCCTTAATCTTTTGTTTTTTTTAAGCAACACTTAAAAATTTTCTGTGTGTTTGGTAATGCGTTAATTGTTGTGAAAATCCAACAATACAGAAGGATGGACAGACGTGAAAGCCCCGTCTTAGTCCGTTCCTGCTGCTGTAACAGAATACCCCAGACTGGGTAATTCACGAACAACGGAAGTTCGTTTCTCACAGTGCTGGAGGCCGGTCAAGGAGCCGGCAGATTCAGCGTCTGGTGAGGGCCTGCTGTCTGCTTGAGAGGCGAAGTCCTCTCGTCCTCTCGCGCCTTCACCCAGCAGGAGGGAGGGCAGCTCCCTTCAGCCCCTTTCATGAGGGCACTGGTCCCGTGCACAAAGGTGGCACTCTCATCGCTTGTCACCTCCTAAGGCTCTGCCTCTGGTTCCATCACGTTTCGGGTTCGGTCTCAACATACGAACATGGGGGAGACACCGACATTCAGGCCATAGCAGCCTCCAACATTAAGATTTTTATTTGATATTTTATTATAAACGTAGTATCTGTTCATGGTAAATAAAATCAAACTTTGCAAAAAGCTAAAAAATGAACATTGAAATTGCTCCTCCAACAGTCCTCCAGCCTTCTCTCCAGTGTTACTAATTAAGTTTCTTGAGTACATACACATGTGATATTTCATAACATAAATCGTATCCTGTTATACGCATGTACTGTGCTTATGCATATGTACTGTACTTTGCTTTTTTTCTCCTGGCAATCGTTCATTATTTAATAAAAGGCTTTCTGATCATTTTTCATGACAGCATAGTGTTGTATTATATGGATCTACCATTATTTACCAAGTCCCCTATTGATGAATATTTACAGTGTATATGGTGGTTTGCTACTATTAATAATGCCATAATAATCTTTGTATATCATTATAAATACACAGTTTATGATTTTACGTAAGTGTATATTTTCCACAGTTTATCCTTTGTCTTTTGACATTGTAGTGTATTTTTCTGTTTAAGAGTTTTTAATTTTTTATATTTCTAATTACATCAGTCTTTTCTTGAGTGGTTCTGGGCTTTAATGTCAAGCTGGACTAACTTTAAAATGATTTTATTTTAGGCTGATACCATGTTAAAGATGGGCTTTCAGCAGCAAGTGCTTGACATTTTGGAAAACGTTGCAAATGATTGTCAGACCATTTTGGTTTCAGCCACAATTCCAACTAGCATCGAACAGCTAGCAAGCCAGCTTCTGCACAATCCCGTGAGAATCATCACCGGAGAAAAGAACCTACCTTGTGCCAATGTGCGTCAGATAATTCTGTGGGTGGAAGACCCAGCCAAGAAGAAAAAATTATTTGAAATCTTAAATGTGAGTACCAAAGCAGTCAGCCATGTTTTACAGATTGGGTTTGCGTTTTTCAAAGCTCTTAAAAGAATGATTTTTAGATGCAGCTTTTGCGGAATTTGGTGTAGGTATTTAATAATAAATTGCTTTACCTGTCTCAGAATTCTGTGAGGATCAAATAAATTGTTACTTGTCAAAACATGCTGGATAGATGCAGGGTTGGGTTTTATTATAGAAGTATATTTAAATACTAAGATTCTTTCTTCTTCTTCTTTTTTTTTTTTGAGACAGAGTCTCACTCTTTTGCCCGGGCTA